AGTTAAAATAGACTAACCCGCAAGCTAAAAAGGTTAGCCTACAAGTTATATTTTTTTAAAAAAATAATTTATTTTTTCAATTGTAAATATATATTTTATAAATATACAATATAAGATAATTTTTAATATATAATTTTGACTCTAAAATATGTTATTTACATTTAAAAATTAATGTAAATCTTCTTATAATTTACAAATGAAATTTTTATTATAATTTATAAATTGATAATTTAATTATTTTATAAAATATTTTGAATATATATTAATTTAATAATCTCATCAGATCTATTGATTGAAATCAAAAATAATAATACATTAAAAAATAGGGTTTATATTTAAATTTTCTTATTTAGTGAAAAAGATAACACACTTAGGTGAGAAGATGATTAATAGTAAAAATTTAGCAATTTTTTTTAATATTTTGGCTTCATTTTTATATTTAATTCTTAATCCATAAAAAGCATATATAAATAATATCAAAATTATATTTAAATTTTTTGTGATACAAAAAATATTTTTAATTCTAATTCTTTTTCTTTTATCAATTTCATATCCATTTCTATTCAAACTTACTTTTAGTGGAACATCCAAGTAAAAAAAAAAAAAGTTTGGATTCTAAATCTTTTTGAAGTATCATGACTTTTCAAGAATGCACAATAGACCATTTAGATTTAGATAGGTGTTAGAAAAAATAAAACTTATTGTGTGGGATTCGTTTAATAGGATTTAGAAGGGTGATTTAATTTATATATATATATATATATATATGATATTTTGATTATAAATTTTAAACCATTAAAAAAAATAAAGTTACATTTTGCTGATGTGTGGGTTGGGTTGGGTTTTCCCAACCCATTTATCTTGGCGGGCTAGACCAACCCAACCAGCTAAAACTCTAATTTGTGCAAGCTGGCCTAGAATCCATTTGCACAGTTCTAAATTCTAAATGTTGGTTTCCTACCAAACTATTTTCTTTTCAACTTGTTTTAATTTAATTTTTCCTTTTTGATATTTTTCACTAATTTCTAAATCTCAAATTTTAAAAATAATCTTGTAAAAACTGAAGTTTTGAAATATGATGAAAAATTTACTATATATATATATATATATTTATTTATATGGATAAAATCATAAAAAGACAATTTTACCTTTAAAGTTTAAACTATATCATTGATGAATAATTATCCGACCATAACTCGAATAAAATTATTTTCAATAGAAAAATATTTGTGAAAAATGAAAAACATGTACTGATGTTTAGCTGCATTTTTCTTTAGAGGTCCCTCCTCTAGAAGTTAAATATTAGCGCCTTAGATAGGCTTGGTCTAATATAATTTTTTTAAAAAATAACACTGAGTTTATTTTTTATTTTTAAATTATTTGATATAATGATTTTTAAATGTATGACTTGAAAATTTGTAAACTAAAATATTGAAAAAAATAAACAAAAAAGGGTGGAGAACAGTTCTTTAGTGAAGACAAAAAATTGAAGTGAGTATAGATAATGAAAAGAGATCAGAATAGATTTAAATGTGAATAAATAAAATTATGCAGAGAATATAAAAGCACGAGGTCAATTATGCATGATTCGCAGGCTTTTATATTAGGGGGAATTTCAATATGTGTGTGTGTAGGATAAGAGATGTAATTTTATTTCAAATTAGTCCAAAACAATTATGAAATTATACTGCATGACCAAGGGGATTAAATTATAATTATTTTTTGTAGGTAAACAATTATTTTCAGTAACTTGACATGTTATTTTAAGGAAAAATGAGCAAAAATACTTACAAAATAGTTAGCCACGGACATCCAGTATCCTAAAGTGAGGAAAAAGATAAAAATATACATAACGTTATATGGATGGGTGCAAAAATAACCAGACTGTTAACTTTGACCGTTAAATACTGATTGTGCATGTCACGTGTTAGTCTTTGCTGATATGGACTAATATAAAGGCAAAAATACTCATGAAATTATCAGTCAGGAGCAAAAAAACCTACAAGTTAGAGATCAGGAGCAAAAATACCCATAATGTTACTATAGTTAGTGCAAAACTACTAATCCATCCAATCTCTTAAATGTTGACCATTTAGCTGACACCTAAGTAGAAATTAACTATTCTTTCACTGATGTAGGCAAGAAATATTCCCAGATGAATTTTTATGAATATTGATCAATCACCGTATGAGTACCCATAATATTACTTTAGTAAGTGTAATAGTAACCAATCCGTCAAAATTAATATTACATTATTTCTTTCCATCACCATGTATCTCGCTCCCTTTGTTTCTCCATCTCCACTCATTTTTCTTATCTGTAAAACCTAAGATTCAATATAGTGAGATAGGTTGTATAAAATTAAAGATTGAAATGAGCACATCTAGCTTAAGAACATTGTCACAACCTTAAGTAATTGCATTTATGATAGGTTTAAAATTTTTAAATGGTTTTCACCACTGTTACAAAGAAACAAGTGATTTAATTTTGATATTCAATCAAAATAATATTTTCTCACAAGATATTCATACAATGATCAATTAACTTTCAGAGAATTTCATCTAGAAATATTTTTTACCCATATTAGCAAAAAAAAAGGTCAACTTTTGCTTAAGTGTCAGCTAAACGATCAACATTTAAGGGATTAGATGTATTAATACTTTTGCACCAACTTTGATAATGTTATGAGTATTTTTGCTCCTAGCCTATAACTTCGTAGATATTTTTGCTCCTTTATTAGTTCATATCAGTAAAGACTAACACGTAGCATACACAATCAGCATTTAACGATTAAAGTTAACGGCATTATGTTAAAGTTAATGGTTTGATCACTTTTGCACCTATCCATGTAACGATATGGGTATTTTTGCCATTTTTCTCACTTTAGGATATTGGTTGCTCATGGCTGACCACTTTGTGGGTATTTTTGCCTCTTTACCCTTATTTTAATAATGTTATTAATCTAAATTTCTCATTTAGTTACATAAGAATTTATGAACTTAAACTCAAATTCATTTCTTATTACATAATTTCTTTATGATTTTGAATTCTATCTACACCATATTCATTTAAAATTTTAGTCACTTTAAATATCTTGTTTTCTTTGTGTTTTTACTATTGATACCTCTATGACTTATCTTTTCTCATATTTCATTCTCATCTTCCATCGATTAAAAAATAAAAATAAACTCACTATTTTGAATTTTACATTTTTGTTTTGAATCTCAACTCACTTTTGCACAAAAACAAAAAAAAAATCTCAACTCACCTCTCTTCATTTGAAAAATTTTAAATTACCCAAATTGGAAATACATAAATTTTAAATATGAGATTATAAATGTGAGATTTTAAATCTAGATAGAATTCAAATCCAAATTGACTAATTCAAACACTGTCTAATGGTGTGTTTGAATTAATGAGGATTTGTTTTTAAACCAAACCCCTCTTTTGGATACATAAAATTTTTTGAATTTAAATTTGATTTAATCCAAATCCATTTCAAATTATAATTTCTTTGAAACATCTTGTTCTATTTGTTCTTTCATTATTAATATTTTTATAACTCTCATATCTTTTCTTATCTTTTATCAATTAAAAAATAGAAATAAACTCTTCATTTTTAATTTTTAATTTTTTTTTGAATCTCAAGTCATCTCTTTTCATTTGAATTTTTTCAAACTACCCAAATAAAATATTTTCATATATGAATTTTAAATGTGAGATTAATTTAAAATGCAAGATGTCAATAATTTGTTAACAACACATGTTGCATATTCAATCTTATTAACTTGTTTACAACATAAATACATTTATTAAAACTATGACTTGACTTGTTATTTTGATAACGTTATTTGTTAATTTAACAGAGGAACTTGTTACAATAAACATTTTGCATATTCAATATAATTTTATAACATGAAGTAGGCTTGTTAAAACTATAACTTGACTTGTTATTTATTTTAATGTTAGTTGTTACTTCAATAAAGGAACTTATTATAGTACATTTTTTGCATCTTTGATATTATTTTTTTGACTTGTTAAAATTGCAATTTGAGTTGTTATTTCAATATTATTACTTGTTAAATTACTTATATTAAAATATAATTAAAGGACATTTTGGCCGTTTTCCTACAAAACATAATTTCAATTTAATTCCTTAGTTCTATAGTGTAATTTCATAATTGTTTGGGACTTGTTTAAAATAAAATCATATCTCTAGTCCTATAATGAAATTCTCCCTTCATATTAATTAGTGAGACACAAATGACGACATATATAGCACACAACATGTGATAGTACAACTATGGAATAAATTCTTGATGGAATTATTGCAGATGCATAGTTGGAATGAAGTTGCCTAAAGCCTGCAGGTCAATACTTGGAAGCATCGCCTCATGTTCAGAACTATTTTGGGACAATTCCTACTATTATATATTGATATCTATTGAAAAAAAAAAAAAAAAAAAAAGCAACTAAGGAATGGATCAAAGATCATACGCGGTTGAGGTATGTCTCAAGGATATAAGGTATCCGCAAGTTGCCAACTGGATTAATTTGAGTCAATAAAGACTCAAGAATGAAAGCAAAGAAAAAGATCATACGCGGTTGGCTATGGCAAGCTTGCTTCTGTACTCTTCAAATTCATAACCATTCAAGACTATGGATATATACCTCATTTCATTGTCCTGGTCCAGTTCATCTTACAAAAGAAAGTCATGAACCAGAGGTAGGCAGCAACAAATAATAGATTTTGCAAATTGCAATCTTCAAATATAATATGTTTGTATATATATGTTAGTCAAAGACGGAGGGCATCTCGCGAATAAAACAGAAGACAGCGGCCAAGTAATTAGACCACTTGACAAAGACAAATGCTTTTAAAAAGACTTGATTCTGGAAGCAATCTTATATGGAGAATAAAGAGTTTATCCTCAAGCTCGAAATCCTTGACCATCAGTCCAAGTTTGGTCCACCGATTCCGCCCACACTACTGTGACTATAAATTCATGCTTACATTCTCGGATCATTTTCCATATCAGTAACCAAACAAAGAAGAAAGCTAGATATTTTGGAAGCACATTTCAAGTATATCAAAGAATGAAGATCACATTGGCAGCGGCATTCGTCCTTCTCTTTGCCTTCAGCACAAAGCCACTGCTCGGAGGATCAGCCGATGCAAAACCGGAGCCAGTTCTCTCCGGCAGCAAAGTTCTCCGAGCAGATCACAGTTACTACATAATTCCAGTTCCCCAGCCCCCAAGCGGCGGCCTTGAGCTTGCAAGCACTAGAAGAAAGTGCCCACTAGACGTTATTACAGTGCAAGAGGATCCAAGCCTACCATCATCCTTCGTTCCCGTCAACTCCAAGGACGGCGTGATTCGTGTCTCTACTGATCTCAACATCGTGTTCAATACTGACAGAGACACAGGATGTCCTCAATTCAACGTGTGGAAGGTCGACGACTACGATAATAGCACTGGACAGTGGTTCGTGACGACGGGCGGGGTTGTGGGGAATCCTGGACCACAAACAGTGAGGAATTGGTTCAAGATTGAGAAGTATGAAGATGGTTATAAGTTGGTGTACTGTCCAAGTGTGTGCAGGAACTGTAACAAGGTTCCGTGCAACGATATTGGGACGTACATTGATAGCCATGGATACGAGCATCTTGTCCTGAGTGACGTGCCCTACAAAATTCAATTCCTATGATGTGGTTAGAAGGACTCAAGGACATGATTCTACTTGCTTATAGTAGCTTTGACTGATTTGCCTTACGAAGTTCAGTTTCAGTGATCGAGCCTGATGAAGGTCATTTCATCAACAATAAGTTCATCAATAATGTAATTTGTTTGTCCTTAGAGGGACACTGTTTTATTGCCGTTGCTTATAAGAGCTATAGGTTCCCCAAGTTGGCAAGTAGGGTTATATCTTGTCTGCAACTAATAAAAATGTGAAAAACAATATATAAATAAGCAAGTATTGCCATAATGCGTGTTCTTTTTTTTTTCTTTTCTTTTTCTTACTTAAATTTTTATATTTTATTTTTGGAAATTATAATAATAATAATAATAATAATAATAATAATAATAATAATAATCAATAGCCAAAGTTTGTGACATATTGTTAACGAATAACAAATTTATCGATAAAATAAAAGGAAGATGAAGTTCATGGCCACAAATCTTATTTTACTTTAAAAATTAACCTGGAAAATGAATTACAATTGCAGAACATTCATGTTTCCTCATTCTAAAATTTTTTTAATCTCGTTTTTTTAAAAAATATATTATGAGCTTGGAGGGCTACTGAGCTTGAGTCTATTTTTACATGGCTTAATAGAGTTAAGTTTAGGAACTTGATTACACTACAAATCACTAATTTCAAACTCAAACTTTTATATGAATGAGTTTAAACGCTATCGAACTGGACTGTATTTCTGTCCAAGAAGCAATTTTCAAAAGGCTAAGTCTAAGGGGCCAATTTTTTTAGTCGATCTTGTATGTGATGAATGAATTCTTTTCTTGGTTTTTTTTTTTAAATCAAGCATGAAAATATTGAGTTTTGATCACCCAATTTTAGCCATTAATTAATTTAATTTTCCGGAGCAAGTCACTTCTTGAATAAGAATTTTCCCTTATTATTATTCTTTATAAAAATTCTTCAGTAGTTTGCGCACTTATATTAGGCTCTATCATATGCGGCCGAACGTGCCTTTATGCCAACCTTTCAAAGATTCAATTAGATTCTCTTTATCATTTACTCACTTGGACTCATCAGAACCATGGGCCCAGTATTGGGCTTCGTTGTGCATTGCTATTGACAGCCCATTGTTAGCATTCTGGATGTTTGACTTTTCCTTGTCCTTCCTTTGACCATAGCTAGGTCTAGTGACAGCTGTCTTGACGGGACGGCCACCTCATCCTGTGCTTTAGCCAATGAAGACTCGCGTTTCTCCAAAGGGAAATTGTTTGGTAGATGAAATTATTGGTGATGTATCTAATAAAAATATAATTATTTATATGATATTAAATATAAATTAATTTTAATATTAATGATCATTGAGTTAAAAAATAAAAAAATTAAATATATATTTTTTTATAAAAAAATTAATTAAAATAATATTATATAAAATTTTATTTAAATAATTTAAAACATTTTAATTAAATAGATAATAAATAATGTGATGCGTTCAATCAACTTAAAAATTTCTCTACAAACAGGAGGCGCCGAGTGTCTTCCCCTGGTCCCTAGGTTTTGTTCCACTCTGGCTAGCCAAAAAAATATATCAAATGTAGCATGCCCTTTCCCATGTTCAATCAAAGCCAGTGGGCCTCTCACAAACTAACGAGTGTCTACGAGCGTTGGATGCATGGGATCAGATTCTATGGGTGTCTCAAATCTTTTACCTCTTATCCAATGAGAGTCTTATACAATATAGTACTATAATGAAGATCGTCAATTCAATTGGACTGTTGTTGAAAATGTTAACACAAAATACAAATCACAGCACTAACTTTTTCCATTTCTTATATTCTGACCCATCAGTTTAGATTGCTATAGAGAAATGGTTGAAATTCATCCTTAATTATAAAATTAGCATCTTTAATTTAAATGACTATTTCATTTCTGGTCAAACAAGAATTTTTAAATGTTAATGAAATCTTATGATTATAGTGTGGATATTCATTGGGTGAAAGGATTTAAAACACTTATTGAATCATAATCCATGCTTGATGTAGTGATAAGTGTGTATTTTACAAGTAAATAGGTATAGATATTGGATCGTATTAGATTATGTTTAATTATATTTATTAATAATTTATACTTATTTAATTAATTTTTATATATTTTTCTCCTGTCAATTAATTATAAGATAAAAAAGAATTTTTGGAGCAAAATCTACTCATCCTTCTCTTTATTGTGCAGGAAAAGAAAATACAAAATTAAGAAGAGGTGGAAGCAAAGATATGATGATAGAGAGAATATATTTTGAAAAAGATTAGATTTTAAATCAAATCAAATATGGAGAAAAATAATATTTTGGCATTTCATGGAAGACTGAAAAATATTAAATGCAAATTACTATAAATAATGGCTTCCAGACTCTTCCAGAGTTAAAATCGGAGATTGAGAAAGCAACTTTAGAGCAACAAATGAGAGCTTGAAGGCTAGATTGAAGTCTAGAGGGTTATCATTGAGGGTCTAAACAGGATTCTTCTAACTCTATTTCTTTTCTATGCTTTTGTATCTCTGGGTGAATTGAAATTATTGAGTGGCTAGTTCTCTTTTGTCCTTAGCAATTTTATGAACCCTTTTAATGCTTTGTTGGTAGATTTATTTCTGGTTATTGGTTTTGATGATGACTTTAATGCTTAATGTGAGTTATTTTTCCAATCTTATGATTGGCACCCTATAGTGTGTGTTTGGATCTTTTTTTTTGCGATAGAAGGGAATTTCAAACAGGCCATATATTTAGGATTAGATTTAATCTAATTTGTGTTTGAGATATAAATATATTCAAGAGCCCTAGGTGATCATTGAAGGACTGCGCATAATGGGATCAGATTTGCTTAAGACATCACAGTATAGGAGATCACGAGTTTAGTGATAAAACTCAATTTTTAAGCCTAATATGGATATATAAGGCTAGCAAGTATATTTGTATCTTATTAACAAAATCATCAATTCAACAAGCAAAGTTCAAGTTTTTACACTATTTTATCTAAGTTCTACACGCAACCTAGCCTTCTCTCAGACATCAATTAAGTAAATCCAACATTTAAATGATGGCTAAACACTTAAAAGTATTAAGACAAGAGTAAAATAAACACTTATATATTATTAAACACAAAAAGAGATAAAGAACTTGATGTTAATACATACAAAGGTTTCAATAATCTTAGAGAAAAAGTATCTAATTAGTCATAATCATCCACAATTTACAGAATACACAAAATATTTGAACCTATATTAGAAAATAGGAGAGAATTAAACTAAAAAAATGAGCTCTAAATATCTTCAAAACTCCAATCCTTTGCTTCAAGTTCTTCCAATGCCCAAGCCCTAGTACACAAAGCTCCAAATGGTGGCTCTAAGTTTATCTAAAGAATGCATTATGGGTCGAGCAAGAGAAGCATACATGTATCCTACCCAAGTATTTTTAGATAAATAAAATGCTGCATTTTGTAGACAATGTTGCAACTTTGGTGATGACTTTGGCCAGGACATAGAACACATTTATTACATACTTTTATATGTCAATTAGGATTACTTATAAGGGTTTATTATCTCAAAGTGCACACACATTGCATTAGAATTGAAAATTTGCTGAAGTGTTTAGGTTTTGTACACTAACGGTATTTTGGTTAAAAAATAAAATTTTAAGAAAATATACAAGAAAAATTAGAAAAATTTATTTTAAGTGCAAAAGAAGAGTGGTTGTGAACACCATATTTTGTCCGGGCATTTTTTTAAATTTAATAAAATAATAATAAATAATCAAAAAATATAAAAAATACAAAAATAAAATTTAATCCTTTTTTAGGATTATATTTTCAAAAATAAAAAATCTTGTTTAAATCTTTTAAGATCTCTTTCTAAATTATCCCAATCATTCAAAATATTGAGAGTCAAATTTTGAGAGTTAAATTTCTCTCCTTAAATCTTATTTCTCATTTAAAAAATATACATATATACGTGTGTGTGTGTGTGTGTGTGTGTTAATCTAAAAAGAAAAAGAAAAGAAATTTTAAAAAATATGTAAGGCTGGGTGAAACATAGCCCAAAAGAGAGAGAGCCAGAGAACGCCAAAAAAAAAAGGACACGCACACACGCACACACTTTTTAGTCAAGCACAGTATGCAGAAAGCAGAAGGAGCACACAAGTAAGTCTGGAGAATTCAGATGCCACAGAGGCAAACGCTAAAAATGCAGAGAGACAGAGATGAAGAAAGAGAGACGAAGAACCACAGAAAAGGAAGAGTCACACAGAAAAAGAAGCAGAAACGAAGCGAAGAAGGACAGACAGCCATGCAAGACACACATACACGCGAGCAGAAAAACTAGATAGCAGAAACAGGGAAAAGGAGAAAGAAATAGAGAAGCAACGTGCATGCAAAAGGGAGATCTCGAGCTTCAGTGATAAAGAGCAAAAACTCAGCATGCACGAAAAAAAAGAAGGGGAAGCAAGTCTGAGAGAGAATGGAGAACACAAAAACTGGAGAGAGGGAGAGACCGAAAGAACTGAGGAAAAACAGAGCATGAAACCAAACAAAGATGGAGAGGAAGCAACACAGAGAAGAGAGACCGAAAGAGTGAGAGTGACCGAGAAAGTGAAGAGGGAAAACAACAGAAGAAAAACCAGATAAAAATGGAGTAGAAAACTGACAGGGGGAGATCGAGAACGAAAAAAAATGAAGCAAAAACAGAGCACAATAAGAGACACAAGAGAGAGACTGAGAACAAGAGAGATTTGAAGGAGAGATCTATGACATCATGCGCGAAGGACAGATCAAATGGAAGGTGGCACCATGTGAGAAGGCTAAATCTGAGACTGAGAGAGATGGTCGGAGCTCTAAAAAAAAAAGAGATAAACGAACGAGAAGGAGAGAGCAGCAACATCCTTGGAGTGTAGAGGAAACTATGACACTGACCTTCATGCTGTCGGGGAGAGAAACACACATACACACTTTTTTTTGTTCTCTATCTCTTCCTCCTGCGTAATATGCTCTATCTGCGTTCTCTTTGATCTACATTTTGTTCTTCATTTTTATCGAATAAAGGTTTTCAATTGAGGATCGTAATTGTCGTCATAGCTACTCTCAATGGTCAAACTAAAACCGTTCAAGGCAACATAACTCCCTCTACGTCACCTCTTCATGCAGCAAAGAGCGTTGATTTTCAGCTTGTTCTCCGAAAGTTGCAGTCTGAATTGATGTCACATGAGTACTGGATGTTTTACAAGCAACAAAGAATCAAAAACA